GGGGGGGGAATTTTGGTAAAAAATGAAACCTTAAAGTTGTCTTTTTTAAAATTGAGATCCTAGATGTGCACTGGAAAAGTTAACTAATGAAAGGAAACATTTGTGTACAAGGAATTGTACATTAGAACTGATTATGAGCTTTGGTGAGTCCATTTGGCTCAGTTTTGTTTTGCTGCTGATGACATTTTCTATTATTGAAGGAAATGAAGTCTCGGTAACTTTCCATTATGTCTATAGGATGCCAAGAAAGCAGAGTTGTCCCTGAAAATCACTCAAGTCCAGGGTGGTGTCACTGATTTCACCACCAGCATCGATGGAATGAGAGTATCTCGTGACCGCACCCTCGCTGATATTGACTTATATGAGAGGCAGTCAATGGTAGGTGTTAATTTTGGGGCCTTTGGTTTTTTAAAATACTTTTCTACCATAACCGTTTCCATACCAACGACTTGAGTGATCTTGCCAGTATGGCCTGATCTGGCAGTTGTATCAAAGGTAACTTATATTTGCAAAGAGATTTTAGTTTAAAAAGATTTCCACCTGTGTTTCACATGGCTTGAAATGCCATGACCTGATGTATTCTATGATAGCGTAGTGGAAAATAATTACTTCTCTTGTCAAAATTTCACTCAACTATTTGCTTTTGCTCTAAAATATGCTCTTATCACATTCACATGCAGCCGTTGCTTTCAACTTTTTATAACCCAATGTTCTCAGAAATGAGGGGACTTGGAACTTTTACTACAAAAGCATTTAGATTAAAAAGTGAACTAAAAGGACTGTTGCATTACTGGGATGAATTCGTTTAAAACATTTTTCTTTCATGTCACGCTGTCACTGGCGCATTTGTTGCTTTTTTTCTTAAAGGAAAGAAGCTGTAAGGGATTTTGACAACATGATGAGAAAAGCACCTGAAGAGGCTATTGAAAAAAAATTGTATCCTCAACCTATTTCTATTTTGTTTTGGTCTTGACTTTTATTTCACCAGTGAGAAAAAATAGTATCATTTACAATGGGGCCTTAGTTGGTTGGAAACCATGTCAGTCAATAAATAGAATGGTTGTTTGGAACAAGTTTTGTTCCTCAAAGAAGTCAGAGCCTCTCCCTGAGGGGAGTGCTCTGTCTATTTTAGTCTTTGCTGTCAAGATGCTTTCCTTAGCCTGCACATTGAAGGAATGCTTTGTTATCTTATTACTCTATCTTAATTTTTTTTTTTTTACATTTTTTTGTTTCCAGCCTTTTAGAAATGTAGGGGGGCTCTCGTGGCCTAGAGGTTAAGGTGTTGGCCTCTCATTCAAAGGTCCCGGGTTCGAATCCGGGTAGCGACCGAAAAATGTTCTTCTCTAAAATTGTCTCCTTTCACCTCCTTTCCTGCTCTCTAGCAATGTTCTGTTGTCTGCTTTCATGTCCACTTTCTGCCCCCACCCCCTCACCTCCTTTGCCCCCTCCTCTGGGCTCCTGACTCTTTCTGCAGCCTTTCTACTGCTACTCCTTGGCTCCTCCTTACTGCTGTCTTTCTGCCACACCCCTGATCTTCTGGTAGGAAAGATCTACACCTAGCCTTCTCGGACAAGGGCGAAAAATCTCGGAGGGCCCGTGTGCAAGTTGCGCACGTTAAAGATCCCTTGGTGGTCTAAAATCGATAAGAGTAGGCTTCGGCCGCCACCCGGGCAAAATTCAAAATTTCCTACCAACTGAAAATATTAGGAGTGTCCCGCGCGCTCATATGACCTATGCAGTTGCGAGCGCCGTAAAAACACTTTATCAAAAAAAAAAAAAAAAAAAAAGAAATGTAGGGAGATTGTTTATGGGAAGCAATGCTTTGAAATAGCTGGTACAGTGTTATTTATTTTGTAACATTGTTTCAAAATAGCAGGTACAGTATACTTTTTGTTCCTGTAGGAACTCAACAAGAAATCGTCTGGCCTCAACAGCGAGAAGGATGTCTTGAATGTTCAAGTTCAGACTGCTCAGGGCACACCTTTATGTAAGTAAATTGCTGCTGTGAGCGTGTTTGATCTGTTGTGTGACTAAACACTAAGCCATGCCAAAGGCACCCTTGTGGTTCAAAGTAATGAATAAGGAAGTAAACTTTAACATCTCCTTTAAGCTCTTGTCTAAGTCATATCTTCTTTTTTTGCCTTCTTTTTGCCAAATCATAATTTGTTTTGGTGTGTTACATTACATAAAATAATGAATGACTATTAAAATTGCTGTCTCAAAGGAAGATGCTGTGAGAGATTTGTGTATTGTGCGTAAGAATTTTTGGTGACTTGTATTTTTTTTTAAAGACTTTTTCAGTAAAATTGTACAGAGTTCCTGACTTTGGAATGGTCCTGTCCGAACAAATAATATCAACATGTTTTAAATTGCTTTATCCTAATTTAGCGGACGCTCATCGCACTGTCATGCATAGTGTTGACACCAAGCGAACGAGAATCCAGCAGCTAAACAAAGAAGTGGAACAGCTAGAAAGTGATACTGAAGCCAGACTGGGAGAGATTGATTGTAACAATGCCGAGCTCAAGGTTTGTTCTCTTTGTCATGATTTCTTGTGTGGTGGAAAAAAATGGTATTGGATATTAATGTTAAATGAATTGTTTTAACTCTACGGATGTAGTTTTTTTTGGGTCTAGACATAATTAACTTGTGGGTCGATTTGGCTATGCAGTTGGTGTACAAAATAACTTCATAGAAGCATAACCGTCACTCAAAACGTAACATATGATATATCAAATTGAAGGAAATTGAATGAGGAATACATTCCAATATGAAACAAGGATTAATTTTGAACATAAGTATGCATTAGAAGGGTTAGAAATGGCGATGATGATGAGAAAAATAAATTTTGACCGAAAAAATAACATTCACCAAACATATGAAAGCAAATCAGCATAGCTATCTTATCATATACAGGCCAAGAGCGTAATCCATAAATTTCTGTATGTGCAGCTTTTTATTTGGAAGCAATATTCCAATTTTTCTTTAAGTTATGATATTTATACAGAGTCCGGTTACATCATTTTGTTGATGCAAGACCACTAGAACTAATTCACTCGTTTTTCCCCAAACCCACACTTTGACAAAGTGAAACTAGATGTTTTCGTTTCCTAAATCCTTTCTGAGTTTTTCTATAGCAATAAAAAGTAATTATAAATACGGATCGTGTTAAAATGAAACAATACTGAGACACCTATCACAGCCAATATATCTGCAATACGTCCGCAAGGGGTGTGGACTCGCGCCAATAAATCGGCGATACGCCCGGAAAGGGTTTAAAAGTTACATCATAAATCTGTAGACTGCTGCTTTATCAATAAATCTTTTGGACAGCCTCTTATGTATATGGTTAGTTTTTGGCAATAGCTACATGACTACCTGCCTAATGCACCTGATACACTCTATACTTGTGATTTAATGTTCTCAAATGTTATATATTTTGTCATGATTTCAGAACATGCAGGAACAAATATCCAAACTAGAGAGAGACCTTCCCCTTCTTAGGAAACAACAAGAAGAAAAGATCACCTTGCAGAAAAAAGCTGCTCAAGAAATGCAGCAGAAACAGAAGCAAGAAAGGGAACGTCAAGAAAAGCTGAAACAGGAAATAGAGCAACAGCAAAGGTAGAAACATAATACTGAAGACTGTCCTGTTGTATATTACTGAAAAGTCTGCACAGTGCCAGCAGTGTTGATGGAAATAATTCAGTCTCTGATCACTGGAGCTGTGAATTTTACATAGTCAAAATTGTCTAATATTCTGATGTTCAGATTTAATATTTCATAACAACTTTATGTTCGCCAAATTTAAGCAATGTTTATATTCATTATATAAGGTACATCTTGTATATTTTTTTAGATTGGAAAAGGGGGTGGGAGAGTTGTGGATGTCCCTGTCTGTTTAAATAACCTAAATGATTGTTATTTTTCTATAATGGCTGCGAGCGATGATGATCATTGCTTTCTTTTTGTTTTTTCCCTTTGACAGAGCTAAAGCAGCGCCTGCAGCAGCACCAGCACCAGCACCTGCAGCAGCACCAGCACCAGCACCTGCAGCAGCACCAGCACCAGCACCAGCTTCTAATGGTAAATTTTGTTGTGAAAGATTTTTAAATATAGAACTTTATTGCTGTCAGATAAGCTTCAGTATTATGTCTGGATGTCTGGCTAATGTAACTTATTCGAAAGTTGGGAGGGAGGTTGATCTTTTTGGGTCATTTTCAGCAGGCCTAAACTTTTTTAGTGACTTTATCCATGCTTGAAGTTTAATGATTGAAAATTGATTGTTGTCTTGTCAGTCATAGTACGCCTAAAATGAGCTGGTCTGATTCTCGTTCACAAATTTGCGTTCTTATATTTTTGCAGCTGATGCCAACTGGTTTGACTTTAACAGTTCGGATGCTGTGAGTTCAGCAGGTGGTGGCACTACAAGCTCCTCTGTGAACTGGGACTCTGCTTTCTCTGGCACCACAACCACAGCAGGCTCTAGTATAGCGTGGGGCAGCACAAATGGCTCTGTAGCCAGTACGGGTTGGTGGTTATTGTTGTAGTTGTTGTTATCGATCCAGCAATAGCTGACCCCCCCCCCCCCCCCCCCCCCCCCCCCCCCAGGGCGGTGCTACTGACTGAAGTGTCTTTAGGCCATTCCCGAAGGGTGGACTTAAATATGTTTTTATGCACAGTAGAATTGTAAATGGGCTGATTCATCAATGTCATGCTCATAACTGTGCCTGAACTGCAACAGGGAACTGTTGCTTTTTCTTTCCTAATCCTTACTATCGTCATTTCTCTTCTACTTCTTTTTCATGTTTTTCACTCTCTTATGACCCGCTATTTCCGGGGTGCCTTGATAGTCGAAACAGACTTTGTGCTGTTGAAGCTAGAGAGGTGAGCAGAGTAAGCTCGGTTTCCCTGTTGACATCCACCCCTTGGTGCTCCTATGACCTTATGCAGTTGCGAGCGCCTAAAACCTCTACTGAAACTTTAAAAAAGCAATAGTTGGGTCTTCTGTCCTGTGCTGTGTAGAGATATGTACTGGTTTGCTACAGTTTCTGTAATGTTCCATAGAGTGTGCTATGAGTGTTAGATCTCGGAGGAAGAAGTGCAATTTGTGTCTTTGTGTCGTTGTCCCACGAGCCTATACTAGAGCTCCCTAGATTTACGCAAGCTGAGGCTGAGCCTTTTGCTCAATATGTAGAGGATAACAGTGGCATGTGCTGAGGAGAGCACCCTAAATATTTTATAAGCTTGATTGAAATGTTCAATTACCAATTTAGATTGTTTTTATGTTTCAGGTTCACAGAGCAAAACTAAATGCAAAGCTATATATGACTTCACTGCTACCCGAGAAGATGAACTTACTCTTGTCGCTGGCATGGAAGTTTGGGTAAGTAAGATTTTGATGTCATGAGAAATGTAATTTGCAGATTTGGCTCAAACTGAGTCGAAAGGATGTTTTGAGCAATGGATTTTTCATGTTGACAAAGTTTTTCCAATGATACTGTCTTCCTTGTTCCACTTCCTTGGTTCTTTCGGATTTTTTAAATGAATAGTAATTGCTGTGTCAGGAACTTACGTTGTTATGAAATGACCTTCAAGGTGTTTATTATTTACATTATTTACATAGGCAAAATTAAGTGCAGTGTTTGATGTTTTGTGGAAGAATGTACTTGATTTCTGCAATGTATTTTAATTTAACTTTTTCCCTTTCAGGTCCTAAATGAATCAGAACCAGTGGTAGGCATGGAAGACTGGCATCGGGGAGAGAGTAATGGTTCTGTGGGATGGTTCCCTAAGGCATATGTAGAGAAAGTAGAGGAACCATCTGGGAATGTGTTTGGGTAGGTATTTCCCATACTGTTAAATAATGCGTATTTAAAAAAAAATCTTTTCAAATGTATACAATATGATTATAGTCTCAATCTAAAGTGAAGCCATACTTAATTCTTCTAGAAAGTTAATCTAAAGATAATATTGTAGCTAAGTTTATAAAGTGATGAATTATGTTATCCTTTAATAAGACACCTATATATTATTTCTGGTTAGACTTTAGCCCTTTAATGGAATTAACAGTAGCGTGAGAATTGACAGTGTGCAATAAAGCAAGAGATGAGGTCTGACAAGTATCTGTGAAGTACATGAGAAGACCTGAGTGTCAAAACTTATTGTTGTTCTGAAATTTGCTCAGTTTTCCCAATTGTTTTATTTCAGAAGTGCATTTGAACCGGTGGTACAGTCTTCAACCAGTCAAAAAGTCGAGACTGACTTATTCAGTTCTTCTCAATTTACTCAGGTATTATTCAGTTGTTATTTTTCACTGGTAAACGCTGAAAAGATTGGAAAGTACAACATAGAATTGTAAATTTATGTTGAACGTTTTATAAAGAAGATGATGATTGTTGTGTTAGTTCCATAGCAATGTAGAATTTGGGAGATTGTAGTCTTACCTTGTATTTCAAGTGCAGATTGCGTTTTGTTATTGGGAGGCTTCAACTTGTCTTTATTTTCCTTTAGTTTGGTTGTTTTTCTACAGGTAAATTGGTATCTTTATATTCATTAAAATTTATTATCAGCTAAAAAAGAGTGGGGTGAATTGTTTATTTCTGAATTTTATATTGGAGCTTGATTTGTAAGTTAGTAACCAGTTACGTAAATCATTTACTGATTTTGCCAATTTGAAATACTTTGAATGTGAATGTTTGGGTAAAAAAGTGAAAGTTGTTTTCTTTGCCCCTTCAGTCAAGTGCAATATCAGATAGTACCAGTACTGCCTCTGCAAGTCCCTCATCGGGTACACAGATCCCTCCAGAAGGTCTACTGGCCAAAGCCACTTACCCATGGAAAGCGCGACAGGAGGCTGATCTCACCTTTGATAAAGATGACATTATTCTAGTCAAGGAGCAGCAAGACATGAAGTGGTACGGAGAGCTCAATGAAAAGGTTAGTTGATTGTTTACTTGATTTTTAATGCTACAGTGTGAGAAAATTGTTAAGGGTTAGATGTGCACAAAACTTGAGTGAGCATGGTAATAATGAAATGTGAGGCATCGTGGTGAAATCAGGCGCTCGTCCAAATAATGAAATCGAAGGTATCTGCATTTTTCGGCCGGTTTAGCAATTATTGTCGAATTTTTGTTTTTTAGCTCAACACCTTTTATGTTTATTTAAAAACAAATTTATGTCTGGATTTTACTGAAAAACATTGACTAAAAGCACAAGAAATGTAAATTTTCAATTTCCAATGACTCTCAAGCTTTGGAATTAACCAAACTTTCGCAGCCATTTTCTCGCTAATTTTACTTTTTATACCAGACGACCCCCACTCCTTCAATAGCAAATATCTTAACTTCAAGGGGTTTTTCTTCGAAAGACAGGCAATGAACAAGTTTTAAGATAACAATAACTCCACATGCGCAAAAATTGACAAAAGGGGATTTTCTTGAAATCCTGAAAGGAAATTTTCCTGATTCCATCGCGTTGTGACACAAATGTTCTATGGAACTAATGTAATTGTAGATGTTTTATGCCCCAATCAGTGCAGGATAGATAACAACATGCTCTAATTAGCACTATTTAGATCATTTAGGAGTTGGGCTTCTTTGACCCTGCCGGTCAGGGGCAATGGGGGTTGAGAGGGATACAATGTCCCAGCAGACAGGCTGAGATGATTGACAACACTCTCCACATGGGAATTGAAATCATGTGTTCAGAGTGTGACGGTGAAGTGCCTGACTGCTACACCACAGACGCTGGTATTACGGAAGAGATTGAGCTAATTGTTTTTCATTCGTGATGATGGACATTCCATGTGAGGTCTTGACAGAGAGATGATTCCCTGGTTGTCTATCCTTCTTTCAACATTTTTCAGAGAGTTTAGTATTATGTTCTTGCGCTCCTTTACATTTTCACAGGGAGCTCAAATGAACTTATGCAGTTGCGAGCGCCGTAAAACCTCTACTAAAACAAACAAAATAGGGAGCCTGCTGACTTTGCCCTTTTCTTCACTTTTGCTGTAGTCAACACAAAATAATTTTGTTCTAAACCAGGTGGATCTCATAAATATGACGTTTCCACTTTTTACAACTACTGTGTGTTATATTAGTATATTCAAATAAAAGATATCTCTATTTATGCAACTTTGATGCCTGTTCACCCATTTTTACTTACTTCACTTCACTTATCAAGGGCAAGATGAATGCTAACTTTCCATGTTTGCACTGCCCCTCTTTTTCCCTAAAGTTGGTACAAAAAATGTATTTGGGAATATTGTCGGAAATAAATTCACTGGACAGATGTGTAGAATTTTCTGTACATTATTTCAAATTTATACAAACCCATGAGTCTTTACCAGTTCTGTTTCTTCATTCACAGAGTGGCTGGTTTCCAAAGGCATATGTTAAACTGATTGGTGTTGCCTCCAAGTCAGGGTAAGGACCTTTTCCATTTATTTTTCAGAATTTTGTTTTATCGGTTGTTGTTATAAGGCTTGTATAATGTTGGCCTTCCTGATGTGTACAAAATGTCGACAGCAAATCTCCAAAACAAAGAGAAAAAAACCACATTTATTTTTGGAGACTATCATGTGTTTAGGTGAAAATGTCTGCGTATATAATTGATTTTTCTGGAGCAGAAAATAGATTTGAAGATAATGTGATGGTATTAATACTAAGACATTCATTTTGTTGGCGCAGAAAATAGATTTGAAAATAATGTGATGGTATTAATGTTAAGACACTCATTTTGTCGAAGCAGACAATAAATTTGAAAATAATGTGATGGTATTAAGACATTCATTTTGTTGGAGCAGAAAATAGATTTGAAAATAATGTGATGGTATGAATTCATTCATAATTTTGTTGGAGCAGAAAATAGAGTGGAAAATAATGTGGTGGTATTAAGTTCAATGTTTTGTAGTTATTTTCTTCATTAGTATTGCATGTCTGACTTGTTTATGATCTTACATTTAGATTGTCAGCTGAAAGTTCCACACCAACCCAGACCAAAGTTCCAGAACCAGCCAGTGTTAGCCCAGCCCCAGACACTCAGGGAGGTGAGACTTAATGTAGAGGTCCTGAGCACAATTTGGTTATGATGATAACTTTACATTGACCGTCCAGAGTTGATGTATTTAAGTATTCATAATGGATAAGAGTAATATGAATATTGCTGATCATTCAGTGATTTCAGCCTTCCTGAGTTGCTGGGTTCCTAGGAGACCATTTCAGGATATTGGATGTATAGTATGATGTTGAAAATTTGGATGGCTTAGAGCTATGGAGAGACTTGCAGTTTTTGTCGTCATTGGTATGTTGCTTTAAGTTTCTTTTCACATTTATTGCTTTCCGCTCTATCTGTCATGGTTTGTTTAGAAACAAAGGATGTGAGCATTATATTTGTTACCACTTTCGGTGAGACTTGAGTACTGTTTTGTGTAAATCTACTTCACAATTATACATTGTCTGGGTCCTCAGAATACTATATTGCCATGTACACGTACACCTCTGATGAGCCGTCAGACCTCACCTTCAGCGAAGGTGACATGATCTTTGTGACGGCTGCCTCGGGAGACTGGTGGTCTGGCACCATCGCTGAGCAGGGAAGGTCTGGCATCTTCCCTGCTAATTACGTAAAAAAACTTGATATTCAGGTGAGATGTGGGAAATAATGGCAACCTTGATTGTTTGTTTGCTTTCTTGTAGTGTCGAATTACGTGATGTCGCTACTTGCACTCTGTAGAAAATTTCTGTGGTTTCACCTAAGTAGAAAGAGCTGTCCACTGACTATTTTATCTTATTCCAAGTTTCTGGTAGTAGGAGATCAATAATTCCATCTGTGCCAACTGTTTCAAAATATGTTTGGAGCCACATTCTTTAGTATGGGAAAAGCTGTTTAGATTTTGCTTCATAGATTAAATTGTTTTTTGTTACTTAAAAAAACAACTTATACGAGGGATCAAAATAATTAAATCAAAGAAATCAGCATTTTTCACGCTATTGGGCAATTTAATGTTTTTCTTCCAATTTTCTGTCTTTTTTTTCTTCTTTTATCCCCTACCCCCTGTCTGTCCCCCTCTCTCTCTCTCTTTCTCTCTCTCTCTCTCTCTCTTTCTCTTTCTCTCTCTCTCTTAAACAGAAATGAGGCTCTCTTAGACAGGTGGTCGTCTTGGACAGTATCATTTTGAGGTTTAGAAAAATCGCAAATGAAAAAGTGAGAGGTCGTCGTTTGCATAGGTTGCTGTTAAGGAAGGTTCGACTATATTCATATGTAATATTTAAATGATATATCTATACATATTATATTTGTGAAAGTGCGTCACTTTCGTAGCCTTAAACTTCTGAACCATTTAACTTTCGAATCTGACCAAATTAATGGTGGTTAAGAATCATTAAAAGGGTGCACAGTTTTATTGAGGAGCCTGAAGTCACTGTAGTTTAATTTTCAGTTTTTTCATTATAATTAGTTTCGTTTAGATCTAATCTTGGGAAAGTCCGTCTTCTAAGACGCAGTTGTAAACCAGAGAGGTTTCCATTCACTAATTGTGGGCACTGTTTTGAGAGTATAGATCTAAACCTTCAAATTTCTTGAATCTCTCAAGATTTATTGCTTCATTCTAGTAGAGTGTAAATATCGTAGGCCGATGACTTTCGGCTGATGTTAAATGCACCGATCATTCCTTTCATCGTGGGCGGTTGGCGGGTGCTCTGGTGTGGTTTGCTTCTTCTCTCCTATGACTGTCTTCCTTATCTCCCCTTCTTCTTTTTTATGTCGGTTACTCTCTTGTAACACCTCTAATCTTCTGGCGCTCATATGACCTTATGCAGTTGTCTGCGCCGTAAAACCTCTACTAAAACTAATTCCTTTCATCGAAAGGGGGCCCAGCTAGTATTATTATATTTGTGAAAGTTCCTCACTTTCTTCGCCTAAAACTTCCGAACCACTTACTTTCGAATTTGAAAAATAAAATAAAGGTGATTCAGAATCATTTAAAAGGCGCACAGTTATATTAAGGAGTCTGAAGTCGCTGTAGTTTACTGTTCAATTTGTCATTAGTTTTGTTTAGATCTAATATTGGGAAAGTCCATCTTCTAAGACGCCATTGTAAACAAATGAGGTTTCCGTTCACAGGTGGTGCGCACTGCTTCTACAATGACTTGACGATAATATATAT